AGGAGGAGGAGGAGGAAGAAGAAGAAGAAGAAGAAGAAGAAGAAGAAGAAGAAGAAGAAGAAGAAGAAGAAGAAGAAGAAGAAGAAGAAGAAGAATAGTGACAACAGGGCCCTTGAGGGAGCAACGAAAAAATAAAATAAAAAGTTTAACGGGTATGGCTAACGGAGGAGGAGGAGAAGAAGAGGGGGAGGAGGAGGAAGAAGAAGAAGAAGAAGATGACGAAGAAGAGGGAGGAGAAGAAGAAGAGGAGGAGGATAGGAGGAGGAGGAAGAAGAAGAAGAAGGCAAGCCGATGGCTAAGAGAGGAGGACTAGAAGAGGAGGAGGAGGAGGTAGAAGAAGAAGAAGAGGAAGCGGAGGACGGCTATGGCTAACGGGCGAGGAGAGTGACCACGAAGAAGAAGAAGAAGAAGAAGAAGAAGAAGAAGAAGGAGAAGAAGAAGAAGAAGAAGAAGAAGAAGAAGAAGAAGAAGAAACAAACCTGGGGGCGTGATGGAGTGGCTCGTTGGCGGGGGGGCGTGATGGTGTGGCTGGCTGGCGGACGCGACGATGGTGATGCTGCACCCCTCGGAGACCTACCGACGATGGTGCGGATGCACCGAGTGATGGCGCAGCTGGTTGGCGGTGGTGACGATGGCACGGCTGGCTGTCGGAGGCGATGACGGAGCGGCTGCATAGACTGGAGGTGAGCGGGGTTGAATGCGCGATGCGTGTTCCCCCGCTGCACGATTGGTTTCCCGCCACAACAGATTCAAAACAGTGGCCGATCTTTGCTGCTGATCTGCGACGATCGGCGGCCAAGATTGGCCAGTTTTTGGACTTCGAAAACGCAGGCCTACAGGACCCGGTTTCGTTATTGCGGGGCAGGGCCCGCCCCCACGAGGCCTCCTCGACACATACGCGCCGCCAATTTTTTTTTTTAGGCCCCAGGAAAAATGCGCTGGGGGCGACCGGTAGGGAACCGGCCTGGGCCACCGGCTGGTCCAACCGGGAGGACCGCGGATGGGGTAGGGGTCCCCGGTCCATCCGGGGACCAGCCCTGATCTGAATGGGATATCTGAGAAATGGTAGAGAGAACCCCTTGACTGATTGTGTTTCTGAGCACTACTGTAATGGCTTTTCGGCCTTATTCAGTCTTCTTGCCTTTCGATAAGCTCACAGCTATGGCTTGACCAGCTAGCTGAAATTTGGGTTCAGACGCGCTGCCTTGTGACTTTTGTTGCTGAGCGACTTATTGCACAGCAATGGACTACTACTACCTTTTTTATTTATTTATTTTTTAACAAAAGGTTGTTATAGGCCTACTAGGACTCCCTTGTCACAAGAAACAGCACATCAGATTACGATGCTCTTCCTCGGTGTCCGGTCAGGAGAGAAGCCCTCGGTTTGTTCCTGCACACTCAGGTATGAGAGGATCACAGACCTGCCGTCGCCCCATGCCCCTTGTGTACCTTACCATTTTCATAAGTCGCTCGAGCATTTCCCTTTTCCTTTCCTTTTCATGATTGAACTCTGCAAGTTTGTCCAATTTTGCTGTTTGCCTCTTGTGCATTTGTTTTGGGGGAACCAATACAGGACGATCTCAGTTCCGACCTCAACCCAATCTTCCTAAAATCACTGGCACACACCGTTTGATTGCTGTGGGCACTTGCCTAAACCTTGGATGAGAAAGTGGCGATGGGCATAAGGTTGTCTGTCACACTGCTGAACCTCTTGTTCATTTTCTTTTTTAAAGTTTTTTTCCTTTCTATATCCAGGAACTTGAGGGGTATAACCCCTAGATTTTGTTGTTCTAAATCGCAGCTCACATATTGCAGATCCTGTTACACATCCAGGCACTGCTGAGACCTTCTTGCCTTGAAGCAGTGCACAGCGGTTGCTGGGAAAAGGGACCAGAAGTTTTTGGCCACATTGGGAACCCTTGGCAGCCTGGCAGTAACTGAGCCATTTGGGGAGGTCGGGCTGATGCACAGTGTACAGTTCTGCTTCCGTCTGGGTGTCATATCGACAAATCTAGAAAGCGCTTTGACTTTATTTCTACTAAAGCTATAACGATGAACATGGAGTCAACACTGCCAAAGTGCAGGGTTTTTCTGGTCTTTCTCTTTTCATGTTCTTCTCCAATGGACTGTTGTACACCTTTTCTCTCTGGTATGTCTTTGTGTTCTGCAGCTTGTCGATTTTCTTGCCTGCAGCATTGTGATCTCTCTCTCTCTATTGGTTGCCAACTAAATATGACTGTGTGGCTTCTGGTGGATCTGTGAAGTTTGCTTTATTTTGAATCTCTCTCTCTCTCTCTCTCTCTCTCTCTCTCTCTCTCTCTCTCTCTCTCTCTCTCTCTCTCTCTCTCTCTC